GGCTTCAGTGAAGATTATGTGGCGTTGTAAAATGTGCGCAACGGTGTATTTATGGAATTGAGGGTAATTGAGTCACGAGACGTTAGCATCGTATAACTAGCATGCCTGGGGGTCCCGTACCGAAATATGAGTGTTAAATATAGAGTAAAAACTTACTTTTTGGATAGCGCACAATATTATAATAGTAATACTAACTATTACAATATTACACAGTATAAATAGTACAGATTTATATTAGTAAAGATAGATAGTAGATTTATAATAGTAATAGTACACAATAATAGTATTAAAATATTAAAATATATACGTTATCCTATATATTATTTATAAGTATATATTCAATAAAATATTTATATATTATGTTAACGTATATAATCATTTAATGGAGTTTCACCCTAGTGATGTGAAAAACACATTTCACATTTCACTTCGCGAAAAACGGGTTGTGAAAAAACTCCATTATAAGGTCATACCCCTAATAACGGTATAAGTAAACTTACTTTTTAGATCGCGCACAACTAAGACAATGTGAGGGGGTTGTATATATATTCTATCACACTAAAACGACTAAATCCAATTTCTCCAAATTTGAATCTACTGCGCCGCCCGCCGCACTGCATTATCAAGTGTGTATTATGAGGGTAGTGATGTATTATGCACTACTTATTTTTATCCTATTTTTACCATATTTTTACCATATTTTTACCATATTTTACCCTATTTTTACCTTATTTTTACCATATTTTTACCATATTTTTACCATATTTTACCCTATTTTTAGCATATTTTTAGCATATCTTTACCATATTTTTACCATATTTTTACCATACTTTTACCATACTTTTACCATACTTTTACCATATTTTTACCATATTTTTACCATATTTTTACCTTATTTTTACCTTATTTTTACCTTATTTTTACCTTATTTTTACCTTATTTTTACCCTATTTTAACTCCGCTGTACTACCAGAAGTAATAACCTCAAAAGTGCGATAGTCCAGTTTCCGCTCTAAAGTGGGAGATTCCCTTATTTGTCTGCGTGGTAACTTCAACATCAATTCTGACCTGAAAATAAAGCTGTCCCACGAAATTCTCCCACGTGTTTTACGCGTTATTCACTGCTCACATGCGTTTTTCGCCAAGTGAAATGTAAAATATGTTCTTCACATCACAAGTGAAATCCAATTTTAAGTATTTTCTACGGTGGAAAAAATATGCACATATTCGCTGATAATATGAAAATACCCAACGAAATTCTCACTGCTTTCTCTATTTCACTTCTACCCGAATTGCTGCTCAACTGCGGAAAGCGATCACATAAATTTCTCGATAATATTATAATATAGAGCCATATCATATTATACAAAACAGTTTCACGACCTGTTTTACGTGAAGTGGCGTCGTAATACTCCATGTGAAAAACGCGATATGAAGTGGCGAATTGAAAACACTTTGCGAATCACCCCGTACCACGTGTAAAACACATACCACGTGTTTCACACGTAAAAAATTATCCAAAATTTCCTCATATTCTCATCAACACACGTAGTTGACCATGTGCATATTTCCAACACTGCACTGTAGAGCTCCGGACTCATTCACCAGAATTTCATAACTCTCATTCGTGAAAAATAGTCAATCCTGCGATTTCCACATCCGAGTTTCGCAACTACCCGTTTTACGTGAGGTGGCGTCGTAAGACTCGGTGAAAACGCGATATTCGCGGTGATATGCAATACTCGTGAAATATGTTTTTCATATCACTAGGGTGAAGAAACTCCAATAATATCAGTCCTACTACTACTTTCCAGTATCCTTAACTGCCTGATTAACAAGTCTTGCACACTTCAATAGAGTATCATGCGTTTCGCAACCTGAAATCAGGCTCGCGAATCGGCACTTTTCCGCATGCAACAATATGTACGATATTACTATACATTTTCGCTTTCAATGGGTTGATGCTTTCGTACGGGACATATTTTCCACCATTTTCGATGAATTCTCTCACTTCTGGTATAGTAGCAGCCTGACGCCATACCACACCTTCATTTCATCTTCGTTATCAGTCTACTACTACCTCCTTTGCATTCTCCTTATTTTGCAGTAGCTTGTATAGTATATACGCCTTATACCTACTATCACGACTTTACGTTTATGAATTCATAATATTTATTATTAATAATATACTTAAAATGGTCTCTTAAAATCTGTTGAAGTTTCTTTACCCTAGTGATATGAAAAACACTAGTGGAAAACATATTTTACAACTACTGCATATCACCGCGAATATCGCGTTTTTCACCGAGTTTTACGACGCCACTTCACGTAAAACGGGTCGTGAAACTCCAATATACTATACATATCGATTTTATAATAATACGGTATTACCATATATTCATCGCATTATATGTGTAGTTTTACTCGTAATAGGAAAAACACTAGTAAAAAACAAATTTCATATTTCACGTACTCGCGAAAAACGCATGTGAGTAGTGAATAACGCGTAAAACACGTGGTATGTGTTTTACGCGATACGAGCTGATATTTGCCCGCTATAATTCGCAAAGAGTTTCAATCCACTTCACTATTTGCATAAAGATAGCTTTTCATCGACGTAAAAAACATATGTTATTCACATATATTTTAATATTAACCCACTTCATGAAAAATGATATGAAAAACACTAGTGCGCAGAGTATTTCACGTGAAACTCTAATAAGCTTACTCTTGAAAAATGAGATATCTTTCCCATTGTTCCTTATTGGTTAGGACGAGCCGCTGTAACAACTGCCCAGGTACTTTCCTGTCCTCAGGCTCAACCGCAAAGAGAACATCCATGGCAACTCGTAGTTGTGTTTCTATGAAATCGTGTCTATGCCGATTCGATAAAGTTATGGTATTACCGAAATGCCCAATCGCCTTTATTCGTAGTCCTTCTTCGGGAGGAGCTACTAAGTCGGCGACGACGGGTAACAGCGCCTGAATTCACCATCAACAGCATTGGAGATATCGTTTTGGTAGAAAACTGCGAAATTAAAGTAGTAAGTTTTATATGTGGGGTAATGGTAGTATTTATAAGAAAAGTACCACACGCACATAAATGGAGTTTCCTGACCAGTCCTCTGTGAAAAATATATTTCACGACTACTACAATATCGCGTCTTTCATATGGAGTAGTATTACGGAAAACGGGTTGTGAAGGTCCATTAATACTACATCAAATCCATAGTGTTTGACGATGTCCCTAACGGCCGCTCGACGTTGACTAACATACTCTAGATCGACCAATGCTGATGCCCTATAAAGTAAGCCCTTCTCGAAAGTGAGCCTCCTCAATAGCCTACCTTTCCGCATCTAATAATAAAGGGTCTTCACCATCAACTGTCGAAAGGGCAGCTATGGCGTCTTGCCAACTGAAAACAGATACGGCCACTTACACGATACACTGTTATCTTACTCGCCGTGCTTGACAAATTGTGGTACTAAATACGGTCCCATATGAGCCCATCCTCGCCACCCTAGTAGTTGATGTGGTTTCCAATCCATTGCCCATGGTATGAACAAAGCTACCCATATAATAGCACCTAATGGGACCTCACTATTATGATGATAAATGATATACTATTTTATACTGTACTATATATAAGGATATTATAATATATAAGTAAGCGGCCGTCGTCATCGTCGTTGCCTTCATTATTATTACTCGGTAAGGCTATAATGAGGATATTCTCGGCGAAGGTGTGATATACTATTTTATACTGTACTATATATAAGGATATTATAATATATAAGTAAGCGGCTGTCGTCATCGTCGTTGAATTTATTATTATTACTTGGTAAGGCTATAATGAGGATATTCTCGGCGAAGGTGTGATATACTATTTTATACTGTACTATATATAAGGATATTATAATATATAAGTAAGCGGCTGTCGTCATCGTCGTTGAATTTATTATTATTACTTGGTAAGGCTATGATGAGGATATTCTCGGCGAAGGTGTGATATACTATTTTATACTGTACTATATATAAGGATATTATAATATATAAGTAAGCGGCTGTCGTCGTCGTTGCCTTCATTATTATTACTCGGTAAGGCTATGATGAGGATATTCTCGGCGAAGGTGTGATATACTATTTTATACTGTACTATATATAAGGATATTATAATATATAAGTAAGCGGCTGTCGTCATCGTCGTTGAATTTATTATTATTACTTGGTAAGGCTATGATGAGGATATTCTCGGCGAAGGTGTGATATACTATTTTATACTGTACTATATATAAGGATATTATAATATATAAGTAAGCGGCTGTCGTCATCGTCGTTGAATTTATTATTATTACTTGGTAAGGCTATAATGAGGATATTCTCGGCGAAGGTGTGATATACTATTTTATACTGTACTATATATAAGGATATTATAATATATAAGTAAGCGGGTGTCGTCGTCGTCGTCTTTATTATTATTACTTGGTAAGGCTATAATGAGGATATTCTCGGCGAAGGTCCTTTTGCCGAACCAACCGTATACGGATGGTTTATACTTCATGATGGCTTGGCTCATTACACCGGCTATACCTGAAGGGGAAAAGAGAGGAGTGGGGCAGATATGCCATTCATGGGGCGGGTATGCCAATTTGAGATGCAACTATCTTTTGTGTGTGGGGCAAATATGCCATTGATGGGGCGGGTATGCCAATTTGAGATGCGACTATCTTTTGTGTGTGGGGCAGATATGCCATGCTCAGAAATGCCTTTTTTGCACAGAATTGTGAATTGTGACCGTCTTCCAGAGCGGCTATGCCACCATGAGATATGCGAATTTTCTTCTGTGGGGCGGGTATGCCACTCTGAGATATGCGAATTTTCTTCTGTGGGGCGGGTATGCCACCATGAGATATGCGAATTTTCTTCTGTGGGGCGGGTATGCCACTCTGAGATATGCGAATTTTCTTCTGTGGGGCGGGTATGCCACCATGAGATATGCGAATTTTCTTCTGTGGGGCGGGTATGCCACTCTGAGATATGCGAATTTTCTTCTGTGGGGTGAGTATGCCACTCTGAGATGTGCGAAATTTCTTCTGTAGGGCGGGTAGGCCACTCTGAGATATGCGAATTTTCTTCTGTGGGGCGGGTATGCCATTCTAAGATACACCTATTTCCCTGCGCGGGGCGGCTATGCCACCCTAAATCGTGCCTATTTCCAAGTGTGTGGGGCAGCTATGCCAAAGGTTCTCCCTCATCCTACGTTGACTAGAGGTATCCAATATCTTAGCCTTGTGCATCTTCGTTGCATGCACCCCCGAGGGGCGATACCGAACAGGTACGCGGAGATTCCACGTTCGAAGGGGATGAGTGAAGAGCTCGGGATTCATTATAGTACAACTAAAGATGATTAAACCGCGCTTCATGATGATGACCTGCGGGTATACTCAGTGTGAAAAACGTACTACATGATGATAACCTGCTGGTATGCTCAGTGTGAAAAACGTACTACATGATGATGACCTGATGGTATACTCAGTGTCAGGAACGTACTATATGATGATGACCTGATGGTATACTCAGTGTCAGAAACGTACTATATGATGATGACCTGCTGGTATACTCAGTGTCAGAAACGTACTATATAATGATGACCTGCTGGTATACTCAGTGTCAGAAACGTACTATATAATGATGACCTGCGAGTATACTCAGTGTGAAAAACGTGATAGTTAATATTGTTAACTTAATAATACAACTACAGGAGGGGATTATCACAGACCGTACTACATGATGATCACCAGTTGGAATACTCGTCAAAATGGAAATACGGTGGTTCCACTACTACGTTGGACAATCCTGGTATCAACGTGATGATACCGCACCTCGGGTATCACAGGTCAAACATTATATTACTATGCATAGTATTAATACTATAGAGTCCCTCCATCGTCATGTGTTCCGTCTATGGCGCGCTCTGGGTGTGATTTTCTCGGGGATTCGGATATTTCTACACCACCATAATCGTTTGGTTCAAAAGTGGATGACACGGACAATGATAGTGAATAATTGGTGAAAGATCTAACAACGACTGTTATTCTATCGTATACTAGACGACCCGATGCATCCTAATCGATAGGGAGTATGAGGTGACACGCTCTCCAGCGTCACCCACTGTTGCACGCATGCACACGTGACGCAAAATTAAGGGAGTGCAGGTTGGAATCACCCCCGAGGGCATTCTATAGTGATATCTCAAGACACATTCATAGGGTTATAACGCAAGTTTATT